TAAAATTCTGCATAACTTTTAGCCCATTAGAGAAAGAAATAAGTTTGTGCATCCTTTATGCATCATTATTAACAAGCGAAAGAAAGCAATTACATGATTTTGGACTTTCTGTTTGTCCATCCGTCCGTCTGTGGACACGATAACTCATTAACGGTTTCGAATTTTCCAATTCTGTTTTTAGCAATAAGTAGACAATGGTCAAGGGACTAATTATTGATTAAATTTTGGTCAAAATTCGTCAACCGGAAATGACTTTGTCGCGCGTTGTCTATAATGGTGCAGTTTGTGTTTTAGTTTAGTACTTACATAGATAATAAAAAATTCACCCACCTGTGAGTTGTGTTAGTTTTCTTCATATTTAATTTGACCATGTTTAGATGACAAATGTATTTGTATTTTGGTTTACCAGCACACAATAGCAATTGTTTCTTGATAGTTTCTTAAATAAGGGTCAAATAGAAAATTATCTATACACAGAGCAGAATACATTTGTATTTTTATTCTTTTATTTTCCATAGGTTTCACAAAGTAAATGATTTTATCACAATATGTTCGTGCGATCCAGATTCCTAATAAACACTCCATAGATATAAGGTTTTTTTAAGTAAAACCAAAGGTAGCCCTATTGAAAGCTTCACTTTAAAAATCGCATGGAATTATTTTGATATAGACAATTTCCTAAGGTGCAAATTTAGTGCCCATATATAGCATATGCTACTTTTATAACTATTTACTAAGCGATTTCGATTTATATAAAATACGCTTTATCTGCACAAGAGTTGTGCCCAATTCCTTGTTTATTATGAGGTTTACTACAAATTTTCATTAAGTAGAGAAAGTTGTAGAATTGTTCCGAAATTGAGAAATCTACTAAAAATTCCAACAATGCACAAGAAAATCTGTTTTGTATTTTTTAGTAGCAAAAGTCCATCTTCTTAGAAGCCATCAAAAACTTTCTTAGAGAAATTTCCAGTACCCTTAAGGGGATACCGGGAACCCCAACCATAACTAAAAAAATCTACCACAAACGGTGAAGAATATTCCTTTTTTAAGTTTGCCCTAAAACTTTACTACGGAAAGTTTTCAAACTGATGAGAGTCCATCCAGAACTCTTAACACTTTCCAAGAAAAGTATGATTTCGCAAAGCCCAAAGTAAAAGCGTTTAATGGAAAACCTCATGGTGCAGATTTTGCTTCTGACTAGAGTTCCAGATAGCTCCTCAAGAGGTTTGAAACTTTCTTTAAGTAATAAAGTTTTGACTGGCGACTTATAAAGAAAACTATAAGAAAGATTTTTGCTTTTCGCACTAAAGAAAGGGTTGGTGTTTTGACTTACATTCTGGACAGCTTCTCACAGGTTTAAAACTGTCCGTATACCTAGTCCAGTCAAATTACGGTTTGGGCTGGATGTTGTCATTTCACTCAATGAAACCAAGCGTATCCCATGTAAAAAGAATCCGCTGAATCCGAAAATCATAGTCCCCTTGACCGGAAGTGGCCGGAACATATTGTTATTAACAAAAAACGAAGTAAAAAAGAGTAAATGTCGTGTTTTTTCGCATTTAAATTCGAATATCTCGTTAACTATTACTCTGAGGGAAAGAATGAATAGAAATGAACTTGTCTAGAATAAAATTTTATACAGTTGGTCTGGAACGCTAATTTTCAACTGTTATTGTTTTTTATGGAAACATGTAAAAAAGTAATCTCGAAAATTAACAGTTTGTTATTACCAAGTAAAATTCATCCGATTTTTTTAAAAATCCGTATTTAGTAACTTCTTTCGATAACAAGACAATATGACAAACCCGATCACCGTAGGTTTCATAGTAATTGATTAATTAAATATGACAAGTATAAAAAGGGTTGCTTTGTTTTTCAAACTGGGGAACTACAAAAGCGTTCCCAATTTGTTTATACATAGTTTAACCCTAAAATAATCTTTTTCAATAATTATCCCGAATATTTCCCTCATATGTAATAAATCCCATATGAGGTGTGCAATTATCGCTCAATTACAGCGGTAGGTAATTGCCCTGTAGAAAGCGAAAGAGCCCTGCGATAATTGCACTGTCCATATATCCATGGCAACTGGCACCTGATAATTTTTTATTCAAGCATGTTGTCAGGAAAAAACTGCATTCGGTCATTTTCATATTTTGTTAAAAGAGCCAAAATATGAAAATAAACTCATGCAGTTTTTAGTCAACATGCTTTCAAAAAAATTATCGGTAATTTTGATGCACTTGTGCAATTACTTACGATAATTTTTGTAAATCAACGCACTGTGGAATTTTTTTAGTTAACTAACAAATGGAAGAGCTTCCAAGGTACCTATAACAAGAAATTTAACTGTGTAATCGGGCCTTGGCACTCGAATTAATAAAAATCATTCATTTTGGTGAAATAGAAGCATAAAAAAGTTCACGCTTTAAAGAATCGATCGGTGCGACCCGATTTGCAAAAGCATTTTTGGTTGTTTCGAAAACTGGCTTCATAGTCAAAAGCTGATTTCTCGTGAACTATCAATCGGATTTGGTCGTATTTTTTTTAAAGTACGTCTTTCTTTCCGAGAGCTTTCCATTCGCCTATTATAGAGTTATATTCTTTGTTATATTGCGGGAGTTATTCCATTTGTCAACAAGGAAAATTCTTCGAATTCCGAAAAAAAATTCTACAGTCCGTCGATTTGCAAGAATCATCGGGACAATTCTTGGAAAAGATTGTTTTAGGGTTAAACTATGTATAAAAAAATTGGGAAGGCTCTGGTAGTCTCTCAGTTTGAAAAACAAAGCATCCCTTTTTTTACTTGTTTATTTTTAAGAGGTTTTTTATTCCAAATTCCAACGAAGTACTTGGGACATTTCTTGTCATTTTTCCGATAAAGTTTTGAATGTTATCGTCTAATATAAAAATTATGGAGGTTGGTTTAGTTAGAGAAATACAAATTTGTGTGGGAACAGTAATTTGAATTCTGTCCAGAGTTCTGTGCAGCCCCTCATCATTTCTCAAACTTTCCTTAATGGAGTTTTATGGCAAACTTTATACAGGGTGTTACATGACCGCATGTAAAAAAGATTGTATGATAGAGGGGATCAAGACAAGCACTTTTTCCAAATAAACCGAGGGTTCAACGTGTTTAATTCGTTTGGGAGCTAAAGAAGTATTGAAATTTGGATTTCTTCTTTAATTTTTTTCTCGGCAACCATAAGAGTTACCAAGCTGGGTGGCACGTCTTTGAGTTGGTTGTCGGGTATGCCCCATCCGATTTTGAAAAAAAATTTTCAAAATTCCTACCTTGAAAGGGCGCACCCCTACTTGGGGGTGCGAACAAAATTCTGGACAGCCCGCCAACAGTGCTAAAACCTTTTCAAATGAAGATTTGTGACGAATTAGGTAGGATAATAAAACTTTTTTTCGTATTTCAAGTGCTAAAGGAACATTCGGGACTGTTTCTGATGGTTAGAATTTTTTCGTTATGATGGTTTTGGCTGGACCCTATAACAGTAGTACCTATAATAGTAAGTATAATAAAACTATAAGTATAGATGTTGATCCTGTGTATACCTATATAGCGGATTCCAATTCTGGTCATTCTGCGGAAACTGAATACTTAGTTCTGAAACCCCGTAACGGAATTTGGTGGTAAACCTTATACATTCAAAAGTAAAAACGAATTCTAAAATTATAATTAAGGTAAAAAGACTCCTCATATAACTATAAGATGCCACATACTTACCTAGGTATAGGTTGTAAGAAGAACATGAATTACCTATTTCCAATTTTACGCAAATTTTGAGTTCTGTGCAACGTGCAACTCCTTATTTTGTTATACCGATTTAGTATTTTTGGTACAATTTTAAAGTTCGGTTTGAAGTGTCGGATAGCCCTTTAAAGCCACTGAAACTGTTTATAATGAAGTTTTGCGTTTTACAAAAACATATGATTAGGTTCATGTTATTTACCTATCTATACCTAATATTTCACGCGTTTTCTTTAACGTTTCCATAAGAAATACCTATTAGTTGAGAACATTTTTTGGTTACAGTCCCGGATCACCCTACACAAGTTCATTATATGCCTAAGATTTTACTGTAAGTCAAAATTAGAAGTGTTTATTTCAGAAAATTTGACGAGGTCTTTTGTATTAATTTTTTTCGCGGAACTATTTCAATGACAACCTATGGGTTTTTTTATGTGTATAGAACCTGATCTGTGGATAGCTATATGAAGATGAACTTCTTCGAACAGTTTTGTATTAGGAGGTATATTTGGCAAACTGGCATTTTGCAACGAAACCAAACAATAAAATATAATTCCAATATTAAATGATAATGACACACGCACATAAATTTAGAGTCACTAAAATACTCTACGTTATGTCTGTCATGCCGTAAGTACTAATACCTATTTATGCATAACAGGGAGGAAAATGCCTTACCGGTGCCTATTGTTTGAACGAACTACAACTCTTACTCAGATGCAGGTAGTGTGACTAACAACTGTATACGAAAGTGGTAAATTTTCAAACAATTACAAAATTACCTGCTAAATTATACTAGGTAATTATACGTTGTACAGTACGTAAAAGTCCATCCCTATCTAATGATTATAAGTTAAAACGAAAGAATAGAAAACCATGAAGCTTTCAAGAGAGTCCACCAAATGTCAATATTTGTTTTTAAAGTTGTTTAATTAGCTAGATACCCAAATATTTCAAGAATGTAACAAACGAAATTAATTGAAATAAAATTGCATTGCAAAACTGCGCAAACATTGTGTAAGTAAAAAATCAACATAAACAAACGTAAATCGATGTGAACAAATCTTACAATGTATGGCAATCACATGTGTGATTGGATAACACCTGTAATAAAAACATATCATTACAGGACAAAACAATAATCCCCACCATTCTGTTAAGCTCCACCTGAAATTTCTATTGGCGGGAAAATGAATGGAGGGGTTCCCGTTTTTTCAGGGCAAGTTTTAACATAGTTGGCATGCAGACACGTCCCAACGTAGCTTACCGTTTTCAGTTTAGAAACACATGTTGGAACATTAGCAAAAAGAACTGAAATTCATGTGATGTTGCAGTTGTTCAATTGTGCTCTAGTTTTCTCTATGTGCGTGTCGCGAAAGTTTTTCACTACAAAATAAATATTACATCGTTGCTTTGTGTTGCATGCGGAGTGCTCGAGCATTCTGCAGTAGACGTTTCCAAAATTCGCGTCAAAAACAGAGAACCCGTACCTGTCTACGCGATGGAAATGGATCCACATGAAAGGGATACTGACATGGAGGATAGTCCGGTAGTGAGTTTCTTGTGTTTATTATGTAGTTAATGATAAGGTTGCACGAGTCAGTTCTGTTAAAGAGATGGGAACGCATGATAGCCGGTTGTAAAATACCACGTGCTACGCTTCCTTGCATCATGCTCGTTAGCGCTCTAGCTTAAATGACCGATTTTGAGTAATCATTGCTCTGTAATGTTGAGGGATGGAATTTTAGTTTAATTGCTCAGTGTTTGACAACCTTGAGTCGAACTTCCTTAAAATAGGCGACCTTCGTTACCTTGTTGCTTGTACCAGATGCATGAATGCAGTTTGCAGACTATTTGTTGGAATGAGTTGTTTATTTTCCTCCAAAAAAAGATGGGCAAAATTTAAATGCCACACGCATTTTTAAATGGAAAGTTCCGAAACGGAATATACCGACCATAAGCGCATTATTCAAGAGTAGGTATTAATAAATGTCATTAAGGATTTACGTATACCTCTTCGATAATTAATTTTTAATAATTTCTTCGAATCAATTTAAAATTATAAACCCATAAACTCCTAATTATTATTACATATCTAACAAGTTATCAATGACAGAACCTTGTATGGTAAGATTAAGTTCGTCTATAGATGGACAACGTTTTCAATTTTCGGTCATACCTATACCTATAGTCCCGGTTCACCTGGAGAGAAGCTAAGTAGGTATACCTCTAATAAAAAATGTAAATTAAATAAAGATTCACTAAAAGCCGGGATATTAATAACCCAAGGGTAAGGAAGAGAGGACCGTACCATCAAATTAGTTAGTAGTCATTGGAAGCGTTTCTTTGTCAAATTTATGTATGATATAATAGGTATCTGTCGACATCAAATCTTAAATTGAGAAATTTAATACTTGTAGATACATTATACAATCAAGGGCATTGGACTTTTTTAAATATTTATTTTAATAGAGTTTCTTAATGAACCCAAATAAAAATACCGCCCAGGCCGATAAAAAATTTAATTAAAACTCTGTAACGGGCAATTACTCTCAAATTATATTAGTCGAATGTCTTATAAGGATTTAATTTGTTACTTCACTAATCGTCAGGATACGTCTTTAGGTACCTATATAGCGCTTTTTATGTTCGATTTGGTTATATACTTATATAAACTTAATTAGATTAGTTTTGTATGTGCAGAAAGAAGCGAAGATCCAAATTAATAAGTTTCTTATAGGTAAGCGATCTAATTCCAATTATAAGTCGCAAATTTCTGTAAATTGTAAGTATAAAATAAAAATGCAGGCAATTAAAAAAGGGAATTTTTTCAAATTCCTACCTAGGTATACTTGCATCTCTATAAGTATCTATACCTATACAAGATCCGAGTGGGTGTATAAGTATAGGTACACCAAATTAGGTACTTCGACTATTATCTACCAAGTACTATATAGGTATCTAGTAGGTACCTACACAATTTTCCTTTTTTTCTAATGAACTATGTGTATTTGTTGGAATATGATGCCCAATTGTATGATTAAATATACCTACTATGGGTACCTAGTACTGAATAATTTTCACATTTTTATCTGTTGGCACTATTTAGTGTAAAATTCTGAAACAAATTGGTTTCAGTCAATGAACTTGCGGAAATGTCAGGCTATAGAACTTATATTGGGAAAGCGGATGTAATCAAAATTTATTGAAAACACGAAATGGAATAAAAAAAACTATTTAGGTAGCGCATAAAGTAGCAGCAAGATAGTGTTAAACGGCTCTAAGCACATAAATTAGATTATACTTAAAAAACCATATTCCAAATCGAATTGCTTAGAATACGTAGACAATTTTTAATTATTTTCAGATACTTGGTCATTCTTGCGCGATTAAACCCCCATTCCATTGCCTTATTTTTCACTATTTCTGTAAATAGATGGAACTTATGTGCATAGTTTTAACCCAAAGCCTATTTTAGACTAGGTACAGGTATGTGCTGGCAAATTTACGCTAGTTTGTACCTATATCCTTTAATATTGCATACCTATATCAGGAGATCACTACTGACTCTAGTGATACACTTCCACATTATTGCTATTGGTGTATTAGTAGTTGTACCTACAGACAATTGCATCATTAGGTACTACACATATATATACAATCGCAATAATTCAGAGTAGTTCTAAGTATTTGTGAAGCTTTCAAATGGATATTCAATATATTTCCCTTTAGTTTATTAAACATATATTTTAGCATTATAAAATCTTAAATAACTTTGACATTGACATTATTTATTGAAAAAAGCAACTTATGAAATTGCCCGTGCAATGTGGTACTATTAACTTTATGTTATTAAATAGTTTCTATATACAGAGCCGAAACTGAAAAATTTCTTTCTGCCCTCCTCCTTAAGAAAAATGTCTGGATGTGCCCTTGCTATGCGTTTGTAGGGGTGAGATGGCCACCGTTTTGGAAAACTTTTATGAAACAACTTTATTAATGTCGTTTATCAGAATATAGGTACTCGTATACTGGTTACATATACCGTGAGTCCCAGGGAGAACGCACCATATGGAAACAGGATTAATGTATTTTTTCGAGAAGGATCCAAGAGGCTTTTTATATGTATTTGAAGTTAGCGTTCAACGTACGTTATTGCACTGCCTGATGATAGAAAGGGATTGGAGTATAGTACGTTAAACGCTAATTTCAAAGGCCTCGTGGATCCTTCGCGAGAAAATTCATTGTCGTTTCTCTATGGTGCGTTCTACTTGGGACACACTGTATACTTAACTATAATGCTTTGGTAAAGCGTAAAAAGATCAAATAATGGCAAGTTAATACAAAAAACTCAAGTATTGTACATTAGCCATCTCAGTAATCTGGGTGAATTGGCCAGTCGATTACATATAGGACAGATGGTCATTGTTAAAAAAAAGGGGCAAGTTTCACTCCCTCGATCGGTCGCTAAATCTATATAGCTTTATATCCTTCCAGTATATTATATTATATGGCTGCCACAGCAGCCACTTTTAAGCTGTTTCAATTGTCCTCCGCCAGTGGACGTTCGGGCGTGTTCGGCAATTTGGCTGCTGAAAACTGGCTGCTAACTTCTCACAGGTTTAAAAAAATGAGTTGAAATAAATTTTCGTTGTGCTTCGCAAAATTAACTTTATTTTTTCTTCTTCGCTGCTATCTTGTCACACGTTTGACACATATTTCCAAAAGAGGTTCCGTTTTCATGACACCAGTCCAGTTACCGAATAATCCTCTCCACATCAAAGACACATATTGTCCATGTCCTCATATACGCGAATATTTACGTCACTGTCTTCCGCAAATCCCACAGACTCGTCTGAGTTCCCTGAAGTAGTCGAAACATGCACTTTCTTTTTACTTCTTCCTGCTTTCTCATTTCTTTCTTCGTTTAGATTTGTTTCTTCTTTTCCGTTTCGTATTTTCTTCTCGTTTCCTTTTTGTTTTGCGCTTCATTTCTTTTAAGGGTCTTTGCCTTGTGCAATATTTTTCGGCCTAGTCCATACGACACCAAGGTTTCTAGCTTGTTTAGTAACATTGCAGCAAGGAATGGCGGGAGCGGGTCCGATTTGATCTAATATTTCTTCAGGAGTGATGTTTGAGACCAAAGTTCCTTGTTGTGGGGTGGTACTTCTAGGAACCCCAGGATGGCTAGATTTTTCTAATGTTGAAGCAATGCTAACGAATGGTTCATTCTTGTGAGCGACTGTCATCGGATATTGCATAGGCGCGATCAGGTACACAATCAGGGTTCTATCTAAATATTGCCTGTGGCTTTAAATGCCGATACAACGTTTCCAACACTAGCAGATTTTCCCCAACTTTTGGATAATAGTTCACTAAAATGTAGTCTTGTTAGGTTTCTTCTTGGATGAGTTTGATGCCTCTCTTTAAAAGCACTATAATAATTAAAGGTTTAAAGACGGCTCTATCTAGGGGTTGCAAATAGTGTGTAGCGTGACTTGGTATGGTAGATACAGCAAAATAACACTGCGTTCCTCGGGAGTTTCCAATAGTTTAACAGATGAACGGTAGTGCGACGCCAGGCTGACCAAAATTAATAACACCTTCCCTTCATGGTGTGCGAGGAAGAAAGTGGCTTACGAACCATTACCAAACAAACTGTATTTACCTACGTAAGCCGATTTTTCAGACATACATTATCTGATCCAGGCGGTAAGCCTTCTTATTTTTAGCCTTGAATACACAATAAATTGGTGGCAAAAACATTCTCTTGCCATTACATCAGCAAGCAATGCAGGATGTCAGCGCGGCAACATCTTTAGATCCTTCTTCAGTAACCACATAACCTGCACGGTTGTTTAATTGCAGTCCTACTCATCAACATTAGAAATGGAGCCTGGTTCATTACAAAGTTCATTTTCCTTTAACGTCACTTTTGGGAGTTTAAAATGATTGGATATTTCCTCACAATTCATTCCCTGAACCATATAGAGTCATTTTCAGATTTTCTATATTCCCTATATTTCTATTTAAAAAGTCAATCGAATCCAGCAATCCCTTTTAGTTCGATTGAATTTATGATTTAAATTAAGAGTTTCAGCAAAACTGCATTTTTTAAATATGTAACACTCATTTTTAGCGCATTTTTGCAAAAATTTTTTTTTTTAAAAAGTAGCTTTTAATCTCACTTTGGCTGGCTGGCTGGTCGGCTGGCTGGCTGGCTGGCAGTAAATGCGCGCCCGTAGAAAAACGCTTGTAAAAAGACAAGGAGTGTACATGTAACTATCGAGGCCGTGTAATTAAGAACGTTAGGGATGGGGCTACAAGATTTGGAGTCGACGACATCTGGACGCCATCCCCGAGCGTATTATACTAACCTGGAGATTTTTCAGTTTTTATCTATCTTCTTCTACAGTTTTTCTCCGATTGTTTTCAAATTGGTGTCGTCGGGAAGATCTTGTCAACGCGCACAACTCCTGCGTGGCGGAATTTTGTTTTTTTTTCCTAGGGGCGAAATAAACCACCTTTTGCGCGGCGCGCTTCGAGGGGTAG